AAGTTGATGTATTTCCTCAGCGACTAGCACGGATCAGCTCCAGGCATGACAAAGCAGATATAGTCCTCTTTTGGAAGGCCAAACAAAGTAGTTTCGCTTTCACAACAAAACACACAGCGACTCCACAACATGGGCAACAATACTACAGCGAGAATAAAAGTTACGCCTTCTTTCTTTGCGTGAACATTTGGGCGGCGTTATGAAAATCTTTCCAGATTGTGACGTAGGTATGTGGGGGCGTGTTAGAACGAGGCGTTTTAGGTAGGTGTGGCTGACTCTTAACTTTTATAAAGAATATCTCTTTGGATTTGAGACTTTAGTCTTTGCAACTTTACAGATCTTCTTTATGCACCAAGAGCTTGTAACACTCCAAAGAGAAAGGAAAAATTGAAATAGCATCATATGACCCCTTTAAGACAATTTATAACATTTATACAATGCTTTTACTCAAAACTCACTTTAAACCACCAGAGTGTTTGTAATAACCTCCGATTGTGATCTAATGAGGGTTTTGGTCATATAATGTTACAGAAATGTTATTTGTAGCCTTTTATATCATGCTAATTGCTACACCTGCTTAGCATTTCTCATGTAAACACACTGTATTGTTATAAAAATTGGCACAATCTCATGAAAATCACATACAAATCATATACTGTCATAATCACGTGTTTCTTAGCTTCATGTTTCATCCCTATAAATGTTTTTCTGGAAATGTAATGCATGCTACAGGGCGGGATATGAACGTGTAATATGATTGACATTTCACGGAAGAGACAACGCAGGCAGCGCTGGAAGCAGCATCAGATCGCGTAAATCAGTGGAAAGTGAATAGAAATGATGATTCCGTCTAAGCTATGCGTTTTAAAACAAAAGCACACTAGTGTAAATGTAGCCTATGGACATTAGTCCTTGGGACATCATCAGTGAAGAGAGGGCTTGTCTGTCTCCTGAAAAAGCGGACATGGTAATGTTTTTTTTTTTTTTGAAGAACTCCTGGGTGATTTAAAGATCTTAATGTATGCAGCAGTGAGCCTCACATACTGACCTAATGTTCATTTTGCACTGAAAGCTATTTGAACTATTAAAACCATTTGCACTGATTTATTGTGTTGGTTAAATTTCGTTCTTTTGTGCAGTGGTTCAGGAGATGAGTCTTTGAGTCTGTAAAAACCTCAACAAACAAAAAAAAATTTGTTTTATGAGGTAATGTGTAATGAAATCTTGTTAAAATGGATTTCATAAAATTGGTATCGGAAAAAGTATTGTTCAGGAACCGGTATCGAAGTCAAGGTATCGGTATCGATATAGAATTTTTTTTAACGATACCCAGCCCTAATTATAATGCGAGATTAAACTTGTTACATTTTGAGAAAAAAAGTCAAAATAAAATGTTGAGAATAAACTGGTTAAATTGAGAAAGTCTAAATTAAATTTTGAGAATAAGCTAATAATTTTAGCGATGTGCTATTTACACTAAGTGAAAATAGCGATTCTATTTATCCCATGTAAAAGTAGCAGATCTTTGCAATAAGTGTAGATAGTAGGTTTTTCATTGGCAGTTTATGTTAACTAATGAATTAACTAATGTTAACTAATGAAGCCTTAATGTAAAGTCTGACCGAACAATAAAGAATCAAAACACTTTGATGGGAAAAGCATTCTTAAAATGCATTCAAAATTCTGAATAATTTGTAATATATAATTATTCACGGTATTTAGAAGTGCCCACAATAACAATATCGTGCATATTCATTACCGTGATATATCGCATTACCGAATACCGGCACAAGTCTAGTAGATGGTAATTAGATGCTATTTATACTTAGTGACAGATAATATTTGCACTTCAATATTGTTGTACATTAATAGTATACAATAACAGTGTAAATAATTTTAATTAAAATTAAATAGATGCTGCCTTATTGGTACAAAGCCCTCCCTATAGTCTACTAACCCTACCCAACCAATACATTATTAAACATTCGTTAGGCAATTGATTTCCACTTTTCCGATGTGATGTGATGAAAAAAAGAAGAGCGAGATCTGCAAAAGGCGGATTCGAACTCCAGTCGACCGCACACGCTTCATCCACGAGCATTGCTCTCTACGACCTCTACACAACTGCAGACGCTGATTAACACTCTCCAACGAGATGACAAGTGTTTATTCCCAGCATTTTTTCAACTTTTTTTTCGAAATTTAACGAAAATGTTGAGAATCTCATTAAATTTTGCAAATAAAGTCGTGTTGACTTTATTCTCGAAATTTAATGAGTTTCTCAACATTTTATTTTGACATTTTTCTCGAAATTTTATGTTTAATCTCACATTATGAATTTAATCTCGAGATGGTTTTAATTTTGTATTATTGCTTGGCCCTAATCCTCTTCCGTACATTACCTCATAAAACTACATTTTTTGTTTGTTGAGGTTTTTACAGACTCAAAGACTCATCTCCTGTGCCACTGCATAAAGGAACAAAATTTAACCAATACAATAATTCAGTGCAAATAGTTAATAAAAGTTCAAATAGCTTTCAGTGCAAAATGAACATTTTAAGTCAGTATGTGAGGCTCACTGCTGCATACTTAAGATCTTTAAATCACCCAGGAGTTCTTAAAAAAAAAAACATTTGCATGTCCGCTTTTTCAGGAGACAGACAAGCCCTCTCTTCACTGATGATGTCCCCAGGACTAATGTCCCTAGGCTACATTTACACTAGTGTGTTTTAGTGTCAAAAATTCTGAATGGCTAGTAATGTTAGTTTGGTTGAGAGTGAAAGCTGTACTCCTGTCATACTATTGGTAGGCGAACTCATGGACTCGAAAGTGATATCAACAAGTTTTTTTTTAATGTAGGATTATTTTTTTCCGCAGCCAAACTCTGCACGCCGGAGATCCAGCACGGTGCTGGAGAACTTCAAGCCCTGATAGTAAAAAATGTCAAATTGTCTTATGTAGCATGATGCTACAATATGCATGAATGGTCACGAAAAACGCGTTTTCCTTCGATGCCTCGCCAGAGCCAATCACCGATTTAGGCTCATAAAACAGGCAGTATACTTACTGGCTCACTGACTTTGAGATTAACCCTTTAGGGATCAAAATTTGGTACAGAGTGACGACATTTTTCAATACTCAATGGTATCTAGGCAATTCAGTTGGTGCCTAAAAAGTATCGAACTCGATACTAGAAGTTGCAATGCTACTGAGACTGCTTTGTTTTCTTCAACAGTATATCAGCAAGAACAGGTTATTGGAGAGAGAAATAAAGAGAGAAAGGGACAGGAAAGAAGGGAGGAAAAAAAAAAAAAAGTACCCATGGATGCTTGTAGTAGAGATCTTCTCCTGACAGAGAAATGTTGCTATGAAATCAGCACTTCTTTTGGTTTCAACAAAGACCATTGTGCGTTCATTCCCTGTAATTGCAAACATAGTGTCATAAAATTGACCAATTTGCTTAGGATATGAACATCAATGCTGATGTCAGCATAAAGCGGTTAGCAACCCATTTTCATTTTATAATGTATCTGAAATATTTGTGAAACAATTTTAAAATAAATAACTGAATAAACATGAATCGCATAATCGGTTACTGCACACAAACTACTGGAAAATCAGTACCAAACTGTATGTGCTGCATACAGTACAGTAGTAGCCTAAAGCAATTCAAAAACAATATAGGATGCGGAGTGCATAATCATGCGATTCATAAAACACACACAAACACACAGAAACCGGTGCAATTAATACATTTATATTTTTAAAGTTGATTCCCAACCCTACGAAGATACCCATTATTGTGGAAAAATTTTGAAAAAACTGCTACATTTGATAAAATGTTACAAGTGTGTGAACATTCTTAAGAGTTTCTGTGAACTTCAATTTGATTACTTAATCCATCAGTTCCTCAAAAGGTTATCAAATGGCTTTTGACTTAAAATCTACATGTTTATGCTTCAGTAAGTGAATTGCATATGGAAATTCAACAAGCCCTCAATGCAAAATAATTAAATGTGTATGCATGTGAATGCACCTGTAGATCTGAGCAGTTCAAGCAGCTGGTCTCTCTTGGAGTATTGGTCCACCTGAATGATAGTTTGCTCCACATCACTGCATGCTCCACCAACCACACCAACAGCAAGGAAAATGTAGTCCACTTTCAAAAAATCTGCTGCCATCCTATCATACAACACATGATGCATATATCACTCCTGATATCACTGAATAGATGTGCAAAACACACATTTTCAAAATCTGGTCATTGAGTTGTGTGGATGACTAGTTGACTGATCTGTCTTAAAGACAAGTTTTTAAGGGGGTGTTTACATTAGACTCATTCTTGTAGCTAGATAGTTCAACGAAACACAAAAGCAGCACACTGTCTTCAGGCCATTTTTATTGAGCCCTCAGAACCGGTTTGCACGTTCCTATTCTGGTGTTTTTTTTTTTATATTTGAAACTTTGTAACCTTTTACATAGGCTAATTGCAAAAAGAAGCTTGAATATTTAACCTCTTTTGTGTTGGAAGACAGACAAACAGGTTTGGAACAGTTTCTGGAAAAATAATTCTTCAAGGGCAATTCACACCGCACTGACAGACACAGACCAACGGCGTACAGTACATCACTTTTTCACACATTCCAAGAGCCGACAAAAGCCAATTCAACATGTTCAGTGACAACAAGCGCTGACCAAAAGCAACAGACACAGACAAGAGTAACACAGACAAAACCTAACTAATGCGTCTGTTGATGTTTGTCGGCATCTGTCAGCGCAATGCGAGCTGCCCTTTAAAGCGTGTCAGAGTCAGACCTTTGAATATCTTCAGGGTAGGTGGCACTGAACATGAGGGTTTGTCGATCCTCTTTAGAAGGCATTCCTGGAGATCCCACCAGCTTTCTCATATCCGGCTCAAAGCCCATGTCCAGCATTCGGTCTGCTTCATCCAGAACCAAATACCGAAGCTTACTCAGGCCAACCTGACAGAGAAAAGTAAACAGAAAAGAAAATAAATAGTAATTATTATTATTATTAGTAGTAGTAGTAGTAGTAGTAGTAGTAGTAGTAGTAGTAGTAGTAGTAGTAGTAGTAGTAGTAGTTTTATGTACATATGGCAGAAATGTACGGAAAAATCAATTAAAGACGTAATCAAACATATCAGCCACATTATATATTCTGTCATTTATTAAAAACTTATTAAATACATTAGGGGGGAAAAATATCTAGTAGTAGCTTATCAGTGGTGACTGTCAGTTTATGTACATATGGCAGAAATGTACGGAAAAATCAATTAAAGACGTAATCAAACATATCAGCCACATTATATATTCTATCATTTATTAAAAACTTATTAAATACATTAGGGGGGAAAAATAAAATAAAATGACCTTTCCACGACCAATGATGTCAAGCAATCTTCCCGGGGTCCCACACAAAATATTGCAGCCCTTTAACACCTCTCGAATAGTGTATCCAGTATTTATACCACCATAAACCACCACAGGACGCACACAGGTCCTACACAAGATACAAAACCAATTGTTTCAGGATAATTTTTAAACTTCAAGCTACCAGCAATACAGAATGAATGAGTGAACTCATACGAGTTCATAGTGTGGACTCAAAGCTAATAAAGAGTTGTGAATCTGAATCATGTATTGTATAAAGCTCTATATAAATAAGGATGAAGGTGACTCATAAAATCTGTATCCAGTGTTTCCCATTCATTAAGTAGACTGTGGCGGCCTGCCAGTGTGGGAAGATGATTACAGTATTTCACTAGATTTATAATGAAACGGATTCGTAAACCTGTTTTCACTGAAGCTGGAGTTTTCCGTCAAAACAAAAGCTTAAAGGTGCAGTATGTAATATTAACAGCTAGTGGTTGAAATGGGTAATGCAGTCCAAATTCAAAGTATCTCTTGCAAGTGTAGAAATTAGGGCCAAAGTGCTATAATTTCCCTACTCTAGTGTAAAGCAAAATAATATACCTATGAAATATTCATTTTCATTTATTTTAGAGTGCAATTGTTTTACAATATATGGCAATATACCTGTCATAGGAATAATATAACATTTGTATTATATTCTAATTTATTTGCTTCCTAAAACACCAGTGAATGTAATTTAGACAGACACTATATCACAGCTAAAAAGAGGGTTGAGTCCCCTTTAAAGTTTAAGTTAATTCACCAACTTTTTTCTTAATTTTCTTAGTTAAGAACATGGGTTCAAGCTCTTAATTTTGAACTCTCAAAGCGCACCAGATAAAAGAATTTAACTTTAAAATGTACAAAATTTTTGTCCACCCACCACAGTCTCACAAAATCCTGTGGGAAGCGCTGTATCAATACCCAGCCCTACTGTACTGTACTACTATACTGTAGAAAAATTCAAAAGGCAATTGCAGATTTAGTTAGTATTTATTTTTCTAGATATTATAAGTGGGATTCACGTCTCCATGGCCAGAAGCATTTACCTGCCATTTTGGCAAAGGCTATGAGACTGTGTAGTGCAATGCATGAGAAACAAACTTGTATGTGAAAAGTTTGTTGATGGCCGCATTTCTTTTGTGGAGTAAGATTGTGCTTAAATTAGTCTGTTTTCATATATACAGTAAAAAATAAATAAATAAAGTAATTATTCCAATAAGTCTAAAATAAAAATTACTTGCTTTTTAGGTCAGTGTTTCCAGAATTTTTGGTTTTAGCCAAGAAAACTATAAAATAAAAAAACACTACTCTTGTATAAAATCACTGAAAAGTCAAAAATGTGTACCCATATGCAAACTTCCTGGCCTCCAGATAGATCTGATTGATGAGCTCTCTGGTGGGGGCCACGATTATGGCCTCGGGCTCCTGCACCTCGCTGAACTTGCTGGCTGCCACTCCATCAGCCATCAGCCGCTGTAGGATGGGCAGCAGGAAGGCCGCCTGAGTGAGCAGATGATTACACGAGTAATTACACCACTGATAAACCACATCAGAATCACAAAAAAGTGTTGCCATTTAATGAAAATAGCATGTCACAGAGGGTTGCTCTTACAGTTTTTCCTGATCCTGTCTGGGCACAAGCCATCAGATCTCGTCCAGCAGAAATAATGGGGATTCCATGTTTCTGGACCGGAGTAGGCTTCACATATCCAGACTTCGTTACATTCTTTCTCAGTGAATCACAAAGTCCTGCTTCATCAAAAGTCTGTAAGAGAGAGCGCAAGCATGAGGGACTTAATTTTATTTTGTAGTATTGTTATTTTTTATTTAGCTATTTTGGCCTATTTTCATAGCTTTTGAACGTACTATGTACACAAAAACAGCTCATGGAAATATGAGCCTGTGTGTAGGCACAATAAACAAACTTATTTTTTCTCTCAATGTCTTGTAAAATCTGAGCTGAGTTTTCAGAGGATTCATAAACACACAGGCATCATCTAGTGGTGTTCCAGGTTATGACACTTTAAACTGGGATGCCTTTGCAGTAAATTGAAAGCTTCAGTGTTACAACCAGTTCGTTATTTATATATATAAAAAATAAAAAAAACACCAACACTGGTTTTTATTTGTTATATTTATCATCAATATTGTTCATAAGAATTTAAGAACGTTGAAACTCAAAATTTACATGGTCTGACATTTTTAAAGTACCCCATTCATTTATAATGAATGTATATACATATACAAAACCAGAGATGCCCAAATAAGGGCTAGTGCACCAAAATTTACACACTTCATATATCTTTAACATTGTGTCAAACGAAATACAACTGATGGTTAGAGAGTGTTGTGCTGCATGCATCAAAGTGAAGCTCATACTTCACTCACATAATCAGCTTGTGATCTGGTGTTTTCCACGAATAAGTTCACAGCAAATTCTGCAAAATCCATCTCTGCATGTTCTGTGAGTTTAACGTGCATTTAACATCTACAGAATAAAGGCATTTAAGTTGACAGGAGCAATAAAAAAATCCTAAGTAGACTGCCTAACTTATAGTACAGAACGTATACACACTTGAGTATGATTACCGCGTTTATATTGCTTCACATGTCCTTGAGAAAAACAAGCACACTGACATGCTGTATGACTTCCTTAAACCAGTCTTGCTCAATGAAACTTGAAGCTTATGACTCAATCTGCACCTGCCTGCAGTCGTGAATGCAGTGACGGACAGCTGTCTTTCCACAGGTGACTGGTCAATAGCGATGGCTTAGCTAGGGATGGGTATCGTTAAGGTTTTAACGGTATCACTACTCTTACCGATACTGCTTTTCAAACTGGTACTTTAACGGTATTCTTATCGTACTTTTATGCATATACAGTGGGTACGGAAAGTATTCAGACCCCCTTATTTTGTGGCCAGTGGTTTAGACATTAATGACTGTGTGTCGAGTTATTTTGAGACGACAGCAAATTTACACTGTTATACGAGCTGTACACTCACTACTTTACATTGTAGCAAAGTGTCATTTCTTCAGTGTTGTCACATGAAAAGATATAATAAAATATTTACAAAAATGTGAGGGGTGTACTCACTTCTGTGAGATACTGTATATGTGTATATATATATATATATATATATATATGAAACAAATTAAGAGCTGAATTAACATTGCATTATATTCTGAAACGTAAAATAAATATTTAATGAATTGAACAAAACATCAATTTTGTAAATGCAGCAGTGTGCAGGCATTTTTAGTGTTTTATATACATAAGATAACAGTAAGAACATGAACAAAGAAAAAAACCTGACAAATAGGCTACAATAAAAAGATACAAATTAAATAAACGGTGCTTTAACTTTTCCATGAAGGTCTACTAACATTACTGTTCAGTTAAATTATATAGCCTACAAAAGAAATCTAATAAAGTAATCAAATGTAAATGAACACTGCAAAGTTTTCACTGTATGAATTGATAGATTAATGCTTATTAAAGCTAACGTTATTCAGATTCAGAGCTGTGAGTGATTTTCTCTTTGCATTTTGTTGTTTGATTAACATTGATGGCCCAAGCGCCATTCACTGCTGTCACTTTAAGACAATATACATTGACACACATCGGATTTTCTCCCAACTGTTCACATCCACTTAAAACAATCTGTGAACACTCTCCAAGCTGGCTATTTTGACACATTTTTGTGTGTATTTGATCGCTTGGTCGTGCACCTGAAGCCCAAAGTGTAATTTGCTTGTCTAGTTGCGGTCCGTATATAAGTGCGCGCACACATTTCAGCCCGGGGAACAGCATCTCTTGCGCGGATTATTGTGCTTTCAACATTTCATCATCAAACATGTCCCACAATTTAGCAACAGTAAAGACGTCATTTTACAACAATCACCGATTGTGCTGTTTCTGACGTTAAATTTGGGTTTTAGGGAGGAACGAATGTGCAACGCTGTTAAGGGAAGGAATTTGCGCTAGATGAAACGCGGCTAGTTTTTAATAGTTTTACCTCTTATCTTCTTTTTTTATAATCCTTAGAAGCCAAAATTGAAATAAAAAATTAAATTAGCTTAATATCACAGCCACAGGCCAAAAGTCTAAGCAGACGTTTTAATGTTTAGTTCTCTCCTATCATAATTAAACAGGGCTTTCATGTTGTGCATGCTGTAGCTCCTCCGCATGAGTGCGATCTCGCTTCTGAACTGCGAATAGCAAAAATGCATCAGACAAATGTCTGAATATTATTGTATATAAAAACAGCTGGCGACTCTGGTGAGATAGAATTTGCAAGATAATGTCTATATAGCAATAACAAAAGTATGTGTTTTTTCTTAATTTCTCCAGTACCGACAGCAGAACAGTTAACGTCAGAGCTTATCAATACACCGGTCTTTCATAATTTAGCCCCGGTTCCCATTTAATACCAGGTTTCAGTACCCATCCCTAGGTTTAGCGTTTTGATTTCATGCGATTTCCCCATTGTGGGGGTGCTATTATGATAACTCCGTTTCACCTGACAGTTTGCACACACATTCATTTTGATTAAATTCAAAACTTTGCAGCACCTACAGGCAGACGAAGCCATTCTGTCATCAAATACAATCAAATTTGTTTTCACGCTCCACATCGCCAGCCAATGCATTTATTTATAACCACGAGTTTGCATGCACAGGATTCCTCATGGATTCACTCAGCAAAGCAACATTTAGCGGATTAGAGTAGTACCAGTATATATTTTTTTTAAAATAATTATTGCAAAGACAATAGCTTGTAAACAATGTCACGTAATATCACATTTACCACAATAAACATATTCGGTGACCATAAACTCATTAGTCAGCTAGAAAAATTAACTCTAGAGAGGAGCATTTTGCCAAATATGCACCATATAACTTTTTAACTGTTCTTCAATATTTAATTTATGTTTGAATAAGCTTTTGTGACAGCCACCATTTAAATGTTTATATTAAAAAAATAAATAAATAAAAAAAACAATTGGAGTAGAAATATAGTTATGCAATTTAAAGTTTAAGTTAGTATTATAACTTTAATATTACAAAAACTTTGAGTATATTTTAAGTGTTTGTATACAAATCAGCAAATTTCAACCTTCCATATTACTGACTCTATATATTTATATTTTGGTATATTTCTGGTATATTTTACAGCATTAGTTGAGATTTTTTTTTCCTTGAGAAAATTTGCCATGTCCTGTACCTGATATATATATCCAAAATAATCGATATTGAATCAAAATGAAATCAAATCGCAAGCTTGTGAAGGATAATCAAATCGAATTGTGAAATTTGTCAAAACACAGATCTATTAGTCCAAGTTATTGCAAATACTTTCTCATCTGTTCAATTTGGACACTGAAAATGTGTTGGAGATCTAAATTTTCAACTCTCATTGTACCAGGATTGCATCAGATGCATTTTACTTTAAAATGTGCAAATGGAGGGAGCAAGCCACCAGACCCCCACCCCACCCCATTTTCACCAACTGATGCCATGTGTCAAATAAAGCAAAAATTATGGATGTAGCACATCCAAATAACTCTGATCCTACAATTTTATATAGCCAATGTTAAAATGGATTACAAAATATATGCACTAACAACTTACCATAATAGCCTTTGGAGGATTGCTGCCACTCACATCCACAAGGATGTCATCATATTTGTCAAAATTAATGCCTGTGGCATAATGGGAAAATATGGAACTCTCCTCTTCTGGAGGGGGAGGCGGCACATAGACAACCTTGGGTCCTACAAGAAACAGAAACACAGTGTTCGTTTATTTTGTATATAAAGGAAGTCAACTATAACACGTGCTCTGGCTAAAGCAATGACTTGCATTGAAGGAAAATATGACCCACCTGTATTTTCACTTGCTTCTTGATTTTCCTTGTCTGCTGTTGAGACTGGACAATCAGGGAAAGAGCAAGAAAACTAAGCAAATTAAAAATGCAGCTTATTACTTAGTTACTATAAAAGCAGTACATTACCCTTGGAAAACACTTCCTCATTCCGGCCTCTGAAACCTACACGGTGTCATTGAAGAGAATTCAATTGAACCCATAACATAAATCACTCATGTACTACTTAAAACACATGAATATGAAAATATCACCTCCTCTTCCAAAGCCTCTTTTTCCTGTCTCTTCATCACCACCACCTTAAAAGCAGGACACAAATATTAAAATGAAACATGATTCAGTTGTGATTAGGGTTGGGTGATATGACCAAAATCTTATTTCATGATAATATACATCTCGATATAGCCATTTTTATTTTATTTTTGTTATAATATAAGAAAATACAGCAAATTACAAACACAATAGAACAAATAAAAATGAAATTGAATAAAGTGTAGAAATAAAACACTGCATAGTCTTCACTGTATCAAACATGAACTGATTCTTATTAAAGATCCAAAAGTGATTCAGTCAAGTGCAATGAGAGATTAACATTAATAATGACAGACAGCAGCAGGTAAATAAGGCTGCTGTCCCTTTAAGACCAACTGCAAGGATCCAATATACAGAAACGCATCTGGTTTTCACCCAACTGTTTTACATTTATTTAACACATAACCGATTGTGTTTATGGGAATACTCCACACAATGGGCATTATGATATAATTGTGTGCATATTTGACCATTCAAGCACAATAAAACACGAAAGATCTGTTTTAGCATCGCATGCTGTCTGAGAGGGGCTTTCAGTGCGCGCTTCGGCTATGTGTCAGTCAGCACGAGCATTGCGTTGAGTTCGGTTTCACTGCTTATTGCTCTTAATAACTTTATTAAGCATCATGTACATCCCAAATACGCAATTGCATGCCGTCTGATTTACAGTTTAATTTAAGTTTATTGCCACATCAGCTTCACAGGATATTTCATGGCAAAGATGAGAGGTCTGAGAGGTGCTTTCAGCGCGCAGCTGTGTGTCAGTCAGCACGAGCACCGCATTGAGTTCTTTCTCACTGGTTATTGCACTTAACTATATCAAGTGCGTCCCACTCTTTATTTTCTCATTCATGCATGTTTCCTTATCACTCAAAGGTGTATAACAGTTAAGCATTACTGTGTTACGCAGATATATTTACATACCGCAGAATACACGATATAGCAAATTCTCTAAAGATAGACGCTTTCGTCCACGGTAACGATATATATACCGTCATACCGCCCAGCCCTAGTTGTGATTGGTCAAAGGCAGCTGTGGTCAAACATGTACTGTATATAACCTAAATCAGTGTTTCCCAACCACTGTGCCGTGACAGGGTGTCAGGTGTGCAGTGGAAAACTATCAAATGACAAAACATTAAAAAAAACAAATGCTAGAAATAAGAAAGTCATATCATCGCTGTCAGGCGGAAACCGCTCTCTATATTTCATTATTTTTAAATCAGTGCTATAGGTCATCCGTTACGCCTGATTTTACAAATATGCAACCAACAGGGATGCAAACATCATTGTATAACTACGTGTATGACCTTACTGTGTTCATACCTGACTTAAGCTCAAGTTTCATCTTAAATGAGAGTACTTTTAATATAATTTCCAGTTTTAATATACCATTTGAAGCAATGCATGTTTGTGCAATTGTATTGTTTTAGTGCTTAGTGGTGTGCCGTGGGATTTTTTTTACTTATCAAAACTGTGCCGTGGTGAAAAAAAAGGTTGGAAAACACTGTGCTAAACTGTATAAATCACAGTTGCCCCAAGCAATTAACTTCCTACATAGCTGTGCTAGATTCACGCCTCAGTCCTTCCTGCCATCATCTCACATTATAACTACAATTCAAATTCATTTCTTCCAACAACCAACCATCACGGAAACCACCCCGGAAACCGCCGCGACCTCTTCCTCGGCCTTCGCCTCCTTTCCAACCTGCAACAAACAGACGGGGTCCATGAATCACTGAAACATCATGAGTCATAAGAGAATGTTTATTATTTGAAAGAAAAAGACATTACCCTCATCTGTGCCATTTTCATCAATTTCTGGAAGTTAAACAAAAGCAATTTATGTTAAAAAAAAAAAATAATAATAATAATAATAATATATATATATATATAATTGTACATGTATACATAGACAAGAATTAAAATGAATCACCTCTTCTCCCAGTCTCTTCATTACCACCTTAAAAAAAGGACAAATATTAAAACAAACTGCCTCATTACACAACTCAACTTGATCATGATTGGTCAAAGACAGTGTAATGTGGTTCAATGTGTGTATAATTAGCAGTAAACTATAATTCACTGTTGCTTCAGGCAACCAAATTCATACACAGCCATGCACATTTCATTTCATCCCTTTCTGTTATTTTCTCACTTAAATTACAATTCAAATAATTTTTTTACAGAAACCAACCATCACGAAAACCACCACGGGAACCACTGCGAAAACCCCCACGGAAACCACCTCGCCCTCTTCCCTGACCTTCACCATCCTTCCAACCTGCAAACACATGGCTCCATTAAAATAAAAAAAAAAAGGTGCGCAAGAGTCATAAAAACATGTCTATTATTAAAAAAAATATATATTACCCTCAGCACTGGAATTTTCATCAATTTCTGAAAAATAAGCAAGAACATTTTTAAATTCATACACGCAAGACTGCAGGATAACACAACTGCATGATTTACAGTCAGGGCTCCAGACTAACATTTGAGAGCAGTGGCACCAGCGCCACTAAGTTTTACAGATGGTGGCACCAGAAGCAGATTTGGTAGTGCTGGGGGGGGGACTGAAAACTACTGCGTGCGACTATGAAACGTATGGTTTCTACGTGTTTTTGCAGCGTTGAGTAATGTATCACAGCCATATCTCATGAATCCTTTCATAAGCAAAGTGAGAGATTTGTAAATAAAAGATTCATTGTGCAGTGTAGAGAGCTTCGTTGATTATAAATGTGAGATCGCGATGAGCTAAGATGAGTGACAGCTTTTAATGATTTTTAAGGGAGTTTGTAAATGTGATACTGATTTAAAACAAGACAGTTCAATAAACAAGAAGTTAATATTAAGTGACTTACATTGTCTGACTATAACACTATTGTCTGATTTTGCTCTATTTCGTCGTCGAAAATAGTTTGAAACAAAGTCACAGCTCAGCCGCTGCGCATCTCCATTCAAACACAGCAGTGTCTCATTTATGAATGAACTGCATTTTTAAACA